CAGCAGCCCCCACTAAGAATGGCTCTCACTGCATGTGCAAGGGGAGGCAAAGATCTGAGCACATCAACACTTTGCAGGAGTTCCTTCGTAACTCAGAACTTAGTGATTAACTTCCAAAGAAGTGCTCAATGCAGCTGGCACACCGTTTGACCCAAGTGAGATATTTGCACCGAGTGTGTTCCCAAAACACCTTGAAATGGAAGAGTTACACACAGCTACTGTGAAATCTCACATCAAACACACGTTTAAAAATAAATAAGGAAGCAGCACTTTTAACCTGGCACAATAATCCCTGCTCTACCAACAAGGATTCATTGTAGGTTCAGATCAAATTCTGATAATTCAACCCAATGGAGTTATGGTGATTGTGCTGTATTTGCTGTACATGCTGCAGGTCACAGTCAAGGCCATCTTTGTCTTGTAGGACAAAAAATGCAAACCCAGCTCTGGCATGCGAAGGGTCTTGTTAAACATTGACATGCTTCAGTGTGCAACTGCCTCAAAGTCTCAAAACAGAAAAAGCCTCATCATCCACAGGAGACCTGAACTCCATGGAAGGCAAAGACAAAGGATTCGCATAATATATAGTTTTTCAAGCCAAATTAGTTCAAATCAAAATCCTTCTCACTGAAGACCCCCACCATCACCTCCAAGTGTGGCAGATCAATTCCCAATACAAAGGGTGCTCTGTCCTCCCTAACACTCCCAGGAACTTTGCAGGGAGGACAGGACAGCTCCCTGGAAAAAAACAAGCCCAAAGCCCTGCTTATACAATAGATGTTTGTTACCATTGTCACATCATCACAAAGGGGAAAGAGGAAGCACAGGCTGCAATATTGGCCCCTGTTATGAAAGCAGCAGCTTTGTTTGGGCAGGAAAACAAAACCCACTGAGCAATCAGAAGAGAAGAATTGTTAAAACAGCAAAGGAACACAGGACCAATAGGAAGGTAATCCACAGCAGAGATAAACCCAGGAACCATCAGCTCTGTCACAGTGCTTCCATTCTGTTTCCCAGGAAGGACTGCCCAGGCTCCCTTCTCCTCCCAGCCCAGGAACTAAACCCTTCTGCTTCTACCTCCCAGCGCACTCCTTCCCGAGCCTTTTCCTACTGCCTCAGCCTTCTACACCTGCTGCTTCCCCAAGCTTCACCCCAGCTCTGCCAGTGCTCCAGACCTCCCCTCAAAGGGCACAAGCTCTCCCTTATCCTGCGAATATAAGATGAACCATTTTACACAAACTTCTTGTTTCAATTGCATTTTCCTTTTTTTCAACATGATTCAGGAACCCCTGGCATGGATTATTTCTTGAAGACCAACTTCCATAAGTGAGAAAATACTACCAAGAAAAACCAGTTGAGAGTAAAGAGAATCCCAAAACTCACCCCCTAAAAGGCCCCTGTTCACAAGGACTCCAAGATACACTCCCTTGAAAATAATTTCCTCTTTTCCAAGAGAGCAGCTTACAGATACAAGAATGAACAAAACGATAAGTATTATCCTTTATCCTAAAATACATTTAGCCCCTGCAGAGAAGTATTTAGGAATTAGGAAGTGCCTTCACCCAGTTATGTTTGGTGCCAAAAGAGATTAAGAAAGCAAAAAAACTCAGGACATGAATTTCCAAGTATGCTGGCTAAAGAGCTTTTTGGCTATCAAATAAATATTACTGTCAATAGCTATTATTGTTGGAGGGAAAGCCCAGAATGACTCTCCTGAAAACACTTTTCACCCCTAAAAACAATTACAGCAAGGTAGATCAGGAATGTTCCACCCTCTATCCAGAGCAAGCTCGGGGGGATGTTTTCTTTGTTTTACAGAGAAGCAGCAGCTTCCAGAGTGAAAACATCGATCTTTGCCTTTCTCCAACCTAAGCCCATTGTCTACATCTGTAAATGAACTGTGCAAATCTGCTGCTGAGAAAAAGTTTAAGTAAGAACACTGAATTTAATAGCAGGTTCAGGTGACTTAGCTGCCTTTAGAGGTGTTCATTTCCTCTTAGAATTAATTGACCCCTATAAGAAAACAGCACTTGACATAATGACACAGTCCCTCAGCAGGACCTGGGCTGCTGGCACTGTGCAGCACTGAACTGGACTGACTGGGAAAAGATCCCCCCAGCAAGAGGCATTTTAAAAGCCCCAGGGTTCTCCTGGCAGACAGAAAATGGATGGGCTCCAGCTCTACCCATGAGCATAACAGCACTCGCTTACCATCAGTGATGCCTGAAAACAGCAAAGTTCCACCATAAATGCCTGTGGAAAATGGCCTTAATTTAATCTCTGGCCCTGCTGCTCTTCCTCCTGCTGTCACTCACATCCGAGCCCTGCTCCCACAGCCTGCCCAAGCAGCCAAGCCCAGCCTAGAAAGAGGGCTGCTTTCCCTTCCGACTCTGTTCCACTGGCAGAAGAAAATTCTGCTTTCGCCGCCTTTTATTCCTACTATTACTCAGGAGAAATCCACAATTTCTTCTCCTGCCAGAGTGCTTCCGGAGCGGTCGAGGCAAGTGCCCTGTGGTGCTATCACGACCGGACACACCAAGAGGATAGGCTTCCCAAGTGCTCCTCCACAACCTCTGCTGAAAGCACCAGAGCCAGGCACCGTGAGAGAGGGCAGATGGCCTCACTCCAGGGCAAACAGCCGGGCTCCCCAGAGAACACCCTGGCACTGCTATGGGCCCGGGTGGGTGCAGCTGCCTGGAAAGGCACAGGAAAGGCAAAAGGAAGAGGTGCAGCCCATGCATCCATCCAAACAGTCAACAGTGCCAAAAGCCATCGACACCTCAGAGAAGCCTCTGGGACATCCCACCATCCGAGAAGCCTCTGGGACATCCCACCATCCAGGAGCACCAAGGGAGAGCCAACTCCGGGACTCACCGTCTCTACCTGCTGCGCACCCACCTGAACACACAGAGCCCAGCACCGTGTCAATGACACTCTTAGTGTGTTTTCATGCACCTGAGCATCTCCTCTCCAACTCACTCTGCAAGAAAAACCTGGTGCCACCTGTACTGGGTGCCCACAGTAGCGCCCGGGGGGACAGGATGAGAGCAGCTCTCCAGAGCTACTGCACACAGCTGGGGAGGCCAGAGGGTCCTTCCCACCGTGTGGGTGCTCGGCATCAAGGCACCCGTCACAGCTGCGATGCCCCTGCGACAGGGGACACGCTGTGTCGCATTCCGAACTGTTGCGAC